CCCACTTTCCCACTTTAGCACTTGGGACTTACGACACCAGTCTATACGAAATTCGAGCGTCGCTACTATTTTGGAACCCGTCGCGATCTATTTTTGTCACCAGTAAAAAGGGGGGAGAGAAAGAGAAAGGAAAAAAGAAAGAGAGAGAACAAAAGAGAACTGGAATAAAAATACACGGATTATTTTAACGAAATTTTCGAAACTTGATTTATGCTACATTTCAAATAAGATGCTTGTACAAGTCGTGTAAAAATTAAATGATATAAATGATCTTGCTCTTAGATCAATTAAAAACTATAGAAGATCATGTATCATTTGCAATTTTTATTGTTAACTGTATTAATCGTATACATGTAATGGCAACATTTAAGGTAAAAAATTTAAGAAATTGTGAAAGTAATGTCCATTCCTACCAATGCAGGTTAATTTCAATCTTAGTTTAACTTACTTTTCATCTTTTTCTAGTTCTAAGAATTAGAAAAAGATAAGAAGTAAGTTAAACCAAAATTTAAAGTTAATCTTCTACATTGGTAAAAATGGACATAAGCGTTGATTATCGAAGCCTGAAGGTTGAATATCGAGAGTCGAGTGTCGAAAATTACAAACACGGACGTTGCTAAATAATTGATGAATCAAGTGTTTAGCGTTGAATGAAGTTTACATGAGTACGAGACATAGCGCGAGAAGATATCCGGTATACGAATTGGCACGTATTAAAAGTGTGCAGATGTCGTCGTCGCCGTCGCAGAATAAACTTCGCCACGGCGATTATACTCGTCACCGTCTATCAGCACGTCCGTAACGGCGAAATGTTCTACCGCGTTATAATCGTCACCGCCGCGCATGAAGAAGGAATTCCCGGCAAGAAGAGGAGGAATGGGAAGGAAGACGAAGAAGCCCCCGTGGCCTCTGCGAGCATGCTCCTGGCGGAATTTTCTCCTCGCGAAAATTCTCCGGATCGTTAAAGGAGACGGGAAATCGTCGGCGTGCATCTTTTCCTCTTCCTCTCTCCTTCACCTTAGCGCTCCTTAGAGAGAAAGAGGAGAGAACGAGTGACCCGGAAATTCCGACACGCCGATGTGGAAAGATATTGGACATATTTCTCCGAGGCGAACTGAGGCGAGGTCGGTGAAAAATTTTTCATGTTTGGATCACATAACAATATTATACATATGATTCGCGAGACTATCTTTCTCTCTTGGATAGTAGGTTTACATTTAAAATAAAGATGCGTTAAAAAAAGAACAGATACTGCTAAAAGGTGAGAAAATAATTGGAGAGTCGCACTACGTCCGATTAGATTACTTTAGAGTAATCCCGGACACTCGACTCTTGAAGCTCTCGGCTTCCTCTCCCAATATTTATTATTTTTATCTTGTTATCTCTTCGTGTGTATCGGGAATTTGTTTTTTCTCCCTTTTTTTTTCATTTCTCTCTTTCACTATCTCTTTCTCTCCTCGAAAAGCCCCAGTTCGGATTTTTTTATGCTCTACGAGCACGCTTCTGCACGGTTGCGCAAAAACATTTATATCAAGCAAATGGATGGTTTCCCAGGCAATACGCAAACTAGTCCTCGCAATTTTGGAAGTAATATCGAAGTGGTAGAATATATACACGTCTAATTTCAGTTCCGCAACTCCTGCCCAATCACATAAGAATGAACGGTCACGAAATTGCTGCCGAAAATTAACCTTCATCAAATTATTATCTACGACCTTGCGAGAGCTGCGCAAATCGTCCTTGATTCTATATTGATTCGATCGATATTTCTGATTAGCGTACACTTATTCATCACATAATGATGAATGGTTACGTTTGCCGATTATTTTTTTTTTAAATTTACGATCTTGAACGTATATATATCTGGAAACAATGCGGAATGTTTGGAATGATGGATAGCAGTATAAAATCAATAATGAAAAATTGCTTTCCATTGCGTGTCCGCTGTCACATATACTGCTTATTTACAATAACGAAATAAACAATTGTCATTTTTGAGTTGTACACCAAAATTGCATTTAAAAATGTTATATTTGTTTTTATTTTAATGATACAGAACATTCAAAATTATTTTCTGGAAAACTTTGTTTTCGAGTTATGTCTCTGTTGCAGCAAATGAGCGACATATGTCTGCTTAAAAATACCAGTTTATCATTTTAATTACTTACAAAATAGAAAATTGATACCATTACACTGGTGATAAAAATTAATCCTTGTTGGAATAGATGAATAGATTTCTATTATTCTTTTAATTTCTTGTTTTAAATAGCAAAATATAATAGATCGACTATTTAGTTAATCATGTATTCTATTATTGCGCAGGTGGAATAATGGAATAATGAAATAATATATTATTTATGCTCCATGAATGAGAGCCTTAATAATATATTAAAACGATACGTTTGTGACAATAATAATAATAATAATAATAATAATAATAATAATAATAATAAATAATAATAATAATAATAATAATAATAATAATAATAATAATAATAATAA